CCTCCAAGAATGGCATGTTTTTCTTTGAATAGATGGCAAGGTACAATGCATTTGGTATCATGACTTGGAAAAAGACTCTCAATGTTTGGTGATTTTATTAAAGGTAAGAATAATTTCTGATGGTATTATAAAATTTTTGTTTGAAGAAAGTTATAAAGGTTTCAACAATGATCAAATAATAAGGTGGTCTTTCTATCTTAAAATGGGACATTATCAATGGCTAAGGTGACCTTTGAAAGAAATAAAGATCAAAGTTCATGGCAAATATAATTAACCGCATTTTAGACTTTTTCTACATGTGATTATCACTCCTTGTAGAACTTCTCCTTAGAAGTGGAGGTAATGTTACGGATATATATCTATTATAATTGTTATCTAAGTATATGAATAAGTAGAAGCAGATAAAAATAAATTAATTTCATAATACCTTTTAGAAAAGCTTCTTAGAAGCTTTATAGATAATATTTTGACTTTACATGTATTTGTAGTTGATTAGTAGGTTAGATACTTGGTCAACAAATAGACTACATACCACATGTATTTGTAGCTTATAAAAAAAGGTAATTATGTGGTGCCCAAATAGAAGACTTACCTTGTAGGTTAAGATACATGTCATGCAAAATCAACACATTTTTTGGAGGTCCCATAGAATGTAGCCACAAAGATCCTAGATAGATAGTATATAAAGATGCAAGAATCAAGCCTTCTTCATTCTTGTCAATTCCTTTCTTGCTTCTAGTCTAGTTTCAAGAGTCTTTAGTTTCTTTATCTTTTGACAATAGCCATTCAAATTTCTTTTTTAATATACATATGTCTCTATTTCTATTTTGTCATATTTCTTTTAGAGAGTCTCACTTACTTATTTACTTTCATTGATTTCTTGTCTTTAACAAATGGAGCTTAAAGGTTGAAAATGAAAAATATGAGATATAGAATAAGGGACAGAGATGAGGATGGACAGAATTGATTATGTAATAGAAATGTGACTTGTGGCTTTAACAACTTCTTTATATATATATATATATATATATATATACATATATATATATAAATAAATATATATATATATCTATATATATAAATATAATTAAAAATAATAATATAAGATGATTTATATCTAAAAAATCAAATAACAAGTTTTAATAAAATTATTGTTATTATTAAAATAAGAACATAAATTTAATATTTATCTTTTGATCCTTTAAATACTAATTTTTACAAAAATTGAAATAAAATCTTTAATTTATTTATATCTTAATTTTTATAATTTATATTTCAATAACATATTTATAATCAAATAAAATTAAAAATCTATTTTCATTGAAATTTTTTTATAATATTATTTTTAAGTATTTATAATCTATTTAGAAACAAATGCTTTGATATTGTAAATACAATCTATCTATATTTGATTTATTCTTCAATATTTTATAATGCAAGAATAAAATTTATTCATTAAAAAATCAGTAATAATTCATATCTAATTGATTAAGTTTTTTATATTTATACATAAATTAATAATTATACTTAAAATATCATTTAATATTATAAACATAAAAATTGATAATAGAATAATAAAATAATTATTACTATTCAAATTTGGTTTTTTTGAAGTAATTCTATATATATATATATATCAATTAAAAATAAAAATAATAATATAAAAATATATATAATTAATTATAATAAAATAAAAAAATTACAAGTTATTAAAATTTAAAATTTTTAAATTTAAATCTAAAAATAAAAATAAATTGTATAAGATTCTCTTACAAAACCATTGGATGGAAAACCATCTTTTATTGCATAGACACCTGTTGTATCACATGCCCTTCTATGTACTCAATAAAATTATTGTCATATCATTATTTCATATCTCAAAATCTTATCTCTCTTGCAATAATTGTCAATGTATATAGTTACTATGCCTAATTTCTTATCACTTTTTACAATGTTTATATATATATATATATATATATATATATATATATATATTACTATCTTAAATGCAATAGATTCTTATTGGATACTTGAAAAAAGAAGGGAAGCAACACTACTAGCAAGTCTTCTTCTTGTATGTACAATTTGAAGATTCACACCATTCTATTTTATTTGAAAAATATTTTATTCTCATCACTCCAAAAGTTGTTGTTGATGCAATGAGATTTTTTATAACATATTGTAATTTGTGATAGAAAATCTTTTAAGCTTAAACTATGTGATATATTTTTATTTAATAAAATTGGTTATAACTACAAATACTGATAAAAATCATAATAAAGGCAAGGTTCACTAGCATCTACTAGTCCCTTTAATTTGTGAAAACATGGAAGATCAATGATTATTTGTCAGGAACTAATACAATCTAGTATTGTATAATCACCTACCATTTGAGTTTTTTAAAACTCTTCAAGAACTATTATGCATGCTATAATAAGAGATTTTTAGATAACAAGGCATCAAAAGGATTAATAAGCAAAAAAAAAAAATTGGTGGATTTGTATGCAATTCTATGAAATGTAGCTTAATCTTGAATTTCCATAGATGTAATGGTTTATTTTATATATTTCTTTTAAGTATTTTATCAATACTACAATTTATATCTTTATAGCAAAGTGATTTTGTTTTAAACAAGATATAATTTAATGTCTAAAATACATCACATTTCTTATCCACACACAAACAAAGCAAGTCTAATGTAGGATCCAAGTTGCGTACATGTAACAAATAACTTCTTTTCTAATGATTTGAGCCTTCTACAACTCTATCTACAAAGTTTGAAATTCTACCTTTGTATTGATGCAAACAATATTCCTCCAATACTACATAAATGTTTTAAAATCTTCATGGATTTTAAACCACTTCTTAGCTTTTGCCAAAACATTCTTTTGAATGTACTAAATACAAAGTAAGTTAGGTGCAAAATACACATATGAACATAAAATTCATTGATTGATTTACATATGCAGAATGTAATATCAAAGTTTCAAGAAATTCTTTTGAAAAAGCTATGAAAAGCTTTTGAAGTTAAGAATAGATGTTTAAGATAACTAATAATGTATTTTTAAAAAAAAATCTAAAGATTATTTCCTTACAATTTATCTAACAATATTTCTTATAAAATACAACTATATAGGCCAATTACACCAAGTTGTTGTTTGGTATTATATTTGTTTTGAACAATGACTTGAGAAGTGTTGTTTTGTTAGAAAATACTACACATATTTGCTTTAGAAGCAACCTTTTATTTATTCGTATGTTAGATAGTGGCAACACCATCAAAGGACAAGACATATCTATTAAAAAATATAAAAAGAATTGGAGCTAAATCATACTTATAATGTCGTATCTACAAGTATCTCTTTACATTTTATTACTACTATCCATTTGCTAGACCTCCAAGGACACTTGCATCTATATAAGTTGGTTTATTACAAGTAATTATTCATAAGATAGAAACCAGTTTTATTTTTCATGCATAAGTAGTGTTGAATTTGAAGTATAGGTATTATATCTCATATCTAGACTCATTCACAGTTTTTCTAATTAATGCTTCTACTTCTTTTAATGTTGGAAAGAAGTTTTTTGGAATATGATTATAAATTTTTTTTTTGTTTTTTTTGTTTTTTTTGTTTTTTTTTGTTTTTTTTTGTTTATTAATAAAATATTATATTTAAACCTGATATATTTAATTTATTAAAGAAAAATAGTTGATTTTTAAATATTAATATTCTGTTTTATCAAATGAAACTTTTAAAATGGAAAATATTAATGTTTAAACTAAATTTATTATTATTAAGTGATGGTTGTATATAATCTTGGTTGATTATAGGATTTTTTATATTTTTATATTAAATACATAATCATATTCAAAAGTATAAAATTTTAATATAATTTATTCTAAATTGGAGTTAAATTGAAGTTTTAATAGTAGAATAAAAACTAATTTAATTAATTTATTTATAAATAAAATACATGCAGCAATTTATCAATCAAAGTTTGGACTTTTGATTTCTTGAAAAATAATAATATATGATCATTGCAACATTAAAAACATTATCTATATAAAATTATTTTATAAGTGATATAGTCAAACCTAATAATAGTAATAATTGTTTATATTTGAAGCATACTTTATAAATCATTATGTTATTGTGGAATTTTATTATTAAAAGTTGTGGTAAGTTGATTCGGCTATGGTTTAAATAACAAGTAAATAATTTTTCGAGTACCAAATATATATATACATATATATATTCTTTTCTTTTCTTAAACTCAATTTCAAATCTTAGATTCTCAATACTTGTAAAATCTTACATGGAGCAGTCCAATCTCTACATCATTTATTTTCTCTTTTACTTTTTAATTCAATGTTCTCATCATAAAAATACTTATTTTATGACCATACGTATAGTAATCTGGTCTAAAACGTTATAGACCAGATTGTCAAGAAGCGAGAAAGAGCTGTACCCAATAGATGAATGATATGAATCCCAACCCTAAAACCCAACATTTTCGGGATGAAAAAAGAGTATCAAGGAACTTCTTCTGTCCATCTATTTATAGAAAATAAATTGACATAGATTGCATTGCGTGGCACAACATTAAAGGATCGTCCATTAATGCGTTCAAGGGATACCTTTTCTGAAGCTCAGAAATGTAATGCCGTTGCTCAGATTTCCACGTCACTTTTGGCAAATTAGACCTACCTGGATTGGGACCCACATTCCAAAAGTAGGAATATGCACTGGATCCAACCCCCTTGAGACTGAGACGTCACCCCATCCCCTTAATAACAGGGGTGCTGATGGCAGTGGAAGTTCGTTAAGCGCAAGGAGAGGGGAGGGGAAGGGGAGGGGAAGGGGAGGGAGGGGAGGTGTGATCGGAGTCCGACGTCGAGTGGAGGTGGGGGTGGGAGAGGGGAAGGGGAGGGAGGGGAGGTATGATCGGAGTCCGACGTCGAGTGGAGGTGGGGGTGGGAGAGGGGAAGGGGAGGGGAGGTGGGTTGTGGGAAGAAGCAGGATACTGTGCGCGAGCGGCGAGACTGGTGGGCAGGATGGGGGATTCTGGGGGGTGAGATTGAATTTCGGAGAATTGCTCCGGAGGCATGGAGGCCGGCCAGTCTGATCCTGAGGCGTTGCGATGGAACAGGCCTGGGAAAAAGCTGAGATCCTTGCACCGGAGCTCCTCCGCGTGCTTGCGATATGGGCCCATCAGGGTGCTAGTCGTCGTGTTGGGGTGGATTGTGGCCTGTGGTGTCGGGGCGGTGCTGTGGCGAGCTGCGTTGAAGTTCAGGGAACAGGAGTTTGATCTAAAGTGTGAGAACCGTAAGGAGGTGAGCTTGCTGTTGTGGTCTTGGCGTTCTTCCTTCATTGGTTCGCTCGTGGATTTTCATGAGTTTTCTCGCATGTTTTTAACGACGCGGGGTTTTTTTACATAGTTTGATTTGATTTGATTTGATTTGATTTGATTTTTACATGTTTTTATGAAGGTTTTTGCAAAGGGCATTGTCATAGCGTCGACGGCAAATGAAGAAACTATAACTGAAGGCATCACTTAATTTGACATTTAGCTTATGTGATATCTTTGTTGCATTTGAGCGACTTTTGGTTGAAATTTTAACTGGCTTGGGAGACTGGGGTTTTATGAGCAACGCATATGAATCATTTTCTTACCTGGATTTCGGCGATTTCGCGTTCAGGTCTTGAAGTCACAGGTAGAGAATAACCTGAATGCATCCTTTGTCATAGTGGGGTTGTTGGCCAGCGTACCGGAGGTTAGCGCTGACATGTGGGTAAACTTTGCGACGAGAACCTTGTTCCTGCGACCCACTGTGAAGAGACTGGTGTATGTGGAGCGGGTACCTGCAGCTAACAGAGCAGCTTTCGAGAGAAAGTGGAACACCAGCATTCTCTACATTAACCACTCAAATGTAACTGAAGTTCGGTCTGCCAATGACACGGAGTATTCACCCGTTGTGTTCGAGACCGATGATAAGGTGCCCAAGTACTTATTTGTAGACGCTGGAGCATACCCTGCTTACAGAAGCGCCATAGATGCTGCACGGGACACAGGGCTATTTACGCTGTCTCCTGTAACTCCAAGGCGTGATGGCACATGGCAAATGGGAGCCTATCTTGCGTATTATGGTCCGGGACGTGATTATACCTCATTCTCAAGCACAGAAGCGCGAAGGCAGGCTTGTAGGGGTTACGTGGGAATCGTTATGAATGTCACTGACGTATTCCACGGAGTCCTGTCAAGGTAGTGGGTTGTTATCATCCAGTCGCTGACTTTCTGTCTTTGTGTGTCGTTTTTGTATCCTTTCTCGATTGCGAGCTTGAAGGAATTGCAACCTTCATGGTGTCCCTCTGCGGCTCAGATTTACAGATGTCGACGACATGGATGTGGTCGCCGTTTTCAACGTGAATTCAAAACTAGAGTCATTTGATTCTTATAACTGCTCGGCTGCAGCTTCTTCGAAATCATGTGCGGTCCCTTTATTTGATCCAGCCGGTCGGGCTTCGGAGTTTAGCAAGGCGGCAGTGACGTGGGAATATGGAACTCAACATTTCGAAGTGCGATGTCTTCCTAAGCGAAACTTAAAGCTGCTAGCTCTGCGAGCTGCCATAGCATGGCCCCTTCTCATGTCACTGGTAGTAATCTTCTTCTCCATCATAGTCTACCTAGTGCTCAAGCGAATGCAGGCTATTGAGGAGGAGGTTCGTCTCATGGAAAAGATGAACGAGGACCTCAATGTCGCCAAATTGGCTGCTGAAGCTGCAGATAAAGCGAAGTCCAATTTTCTGGCAACAGTTTCTCATGAAATTAGGTTAGTATTTCAATCATCCTGGAACTGTTCATCTACGCGACTTCGTTTAGGAAAGACCATGACATTCCTTTAACAGGCTTGTATTTTATGAACTTTCTGGGCAGGTCTCATCATATGTCTCTTTGTTTCCATCTTGGTTTTCCGCAAGTTCTGTTTCATTCCTTTGAAAGCGTAAAGTATACCTCAAGTTTTACTGTGCCGAACCGTCCCTAGTATTATGCTAAATGGTTTTGTGGTCCTCATCATCCTACTTAATGTAATTCTTTATGGCATTGTGATACAGGACTCCAATGAATGGAGTGATTGGAATGACGAATTTGCTTATGGGAACCAATTTGACTACCCAGCAGCTTGAATATGTTAAAGTTGTACAAGCCAGTGGCAACACTCTTATGTACGCTCCTATACTTTGCTACTTTTTTCGTCAATTTATCCGTCTACTCTTAGACGATCATTGCTTGCGCTCACAGTAGGTCAGCCATGGCCGTCCCTGCAGTGCCATAAACTTCCCCTGAGCGCTCTCTTTTTGCCATACTTTTCCTTGACGAGTGTAAGATGTGATGGCAGAGCTCTCATCAATGATGTGCTGGACCTGTCCAAGATTGAGGCGGGTAGAATGGAGCTTGAGTCGGTCGCTTACGATATCCGTAAGGAGGTGGACGGCGTATTTTTACTCTTTGATGACAGAGCGCAGCAGAACAAGATCGAATTGTCCATGCTTGTCCATGATGCAGTGCCGAATTACATAGTGGGAGATCCTGGAAGGTTCCATCAGGTATTTGCCCTTTTCTCTTTACGAGTTTATTGAGCGCCAGTTAGCAATTTTATGACAAATCTTAAACGACCGAGTTCGTATGGAATGCTGAAATTTGAACTTCGTAGAGCTTGAAATTAACTCGTGTTCCCTCTTGTATGCAGATTCTCGCCAACGTTGTTAGCAACGCCTTGAAGGTACTAATTTTTTGTTTCCACCAATTGACACATCAATGATAAGTTTTCTGAATCCTGAATACCGAGTTCTGTGATGGTGATTTGAGTGTTTCTGCTCAGCTGCTAGTCATTCTTACAACCAGTTATAATTGCTTTTGTGTTTCTTTATTTATATAATTTCTAAAAATCAAAGTAAAAGAAAAAAAAAAAAAAAAAAACTTCTATTTCTTCACCAGTTCACGAGGGAGGGCAACATTCTTGTGTGTGTTCGTGCAATGCGCGTCAGTCAAGGAAACAAAGCACTCTTCACGGCTATCACCATTGACCAGAATTCTGCGGTCCCTGGAGACGTTCAGCCTTCGCAAGTGCTTCCCGATGAACCATTTTCACTAGTCGGATCCGACGGGATGAAATTGTATGAAGACCAGGATGTTGCTCCGAGATTGAGTATTCAACCTGGAAGTGAGTCGAATAGAAGTGAAGCACTTGATTTATGGAGGAAATGGGAATGGAAGAACCTATCTGGGAGCCATTGCAAGCCTCCAAATCAATTCATTTTAATCGTTTCTGTGGAGGATACAGGTGCTGACTCCCCCCACGCACACACGTGATATTTCAGCTTATGATTCTTCCCTATATCGACTCTCATTCTGTTTACTCAGTGAGTAAACACTAATTGGTAATAGTATTGAAATTCAGGCCCTGGCATCCCATGTCATATGGAGCCTCGTTTGTTTCAACCTTTTTCTCAAGCCGACAGCAACAGTTCAAGAGAGCATGGAGGCACTGGAATTGGTTTGTTTATAAGCCAGGTGAGTTCATGTTATCTTACGAAGAAGTTAAAACTGCTCTTTCGTGCATTCATTAGAGTCGAGGTATTAGGATTGTTGAATTACGTGAACGTCTTGTTTTTGCAAATTTGAAAAAAAGTAAATTTTTGCTGGTTGACAAGTGTCTATGTTGAGTCTTGCAGAAACTGATAAAACTGATGAACGGCACCATAAGGGTGATGAGCGAGCCGGGCAAAGGAAGTGTATTTGAATTTACGCTTCCTGCAAGCTTTGCCGACACTGCTGGAGGGAGTAAGCCGCAACTTCCGATGGAAGATAAGAGACTGAAGGGTTTACATGTTGCTCTTGTGGATACAGATCTCGTTCATCGGGTACTGTCATTTACGAATCGCACTCTCGAATGCCATCTCCTTATCATGACAGGAAGAAGTTTGGACTTAGTTACATGAGGCAATGCCTACACTCTTTTGCAAAAATGTTCACGTAGATATTGTCATTTTTTCGCTTGCGTTAACTGCCAAGTCATCAGAGACAAATTACTTGTGAAGGTGATCTCATGGTGCAGGAAATTACAGCTAGCTTCTTGCGGTACTCAGGCATGCATGTTGAGCTTGCCGATGACGTACAGTCCACAATGGAGATTTTGCAGAGGACTGGAGGACCTACTCTTCAAGCTGTTATGGTCGATATTAAAGGGTTACCCAGTGCACCAGCTGTAGAGTTAGCCAGGTCAATACGGAGCACACCAAGTCTAAAGGCTTTATCTGTGCTAGTTCTCACTTCAAATCCAGTATCTCCTCCAGGTGAGAAAGAATTAAAAGATGCTGGGGTGTCCTTCATTATTAGCAAATCCTTACGATTATCCACAGGCTCTTCTGTGTTGCTAGAGGCAATGGGCTTAAAACCCCAAGCACCCGTGAAGAAGAAGGCTAATGACAATGTCAAATTACTGCTTGGCAAACGGCTGCTTGTGGTAATCAACTCTTTCTTCACATTATCTTCTGAATCCATTGCACGCGATCTTTTCTAGAAACTTTTATGTTTGTGTTGAACTCAAGTGGTTAAGAGGACGCCAATCTTGATACGTAAGCAATATTGATGTATGACCACTGTTGATTATTATCATTGGTTCTATGTTGTGCTCATGTCTAGGTGGATGACAACATGGTCAATCAAAGAGTAGCAACTTCAATGTTGAAAAGATACGGTGCCATAGTGTCAAGCGTAAACAGCGGCATTGAAGACAAGAAATTAGACCTCGTGTTGATGGATATTCAGATGTCCGAGGTAATACTTTGCAGTTTAGAGCTCAACAGTTTATCATAATCGCAGGTGCAACTTCAGAATAGAAGTTGAAGTCATTGTTTTCGTTTGTAGGTTCATTAGTTCTAATCAGTTGCAGAACTAGTTCTTGGTATGTGTGGCTAATGCGGTGACCTTAACAGATGGATGGTTGGCAAGCAACACGCCACATTCGCAATTGGGAAGTCGAAAACTGCGACACTTGTTGCAAGTCAAACGTAAACTGGTGCAGACACAACCGACTTCCCATCGTTGCGGTTACAGCGGATGCTATGAAAGGCACTCACGCAGAGTGTTTCAGCTCAGGAATGGATGACTACATTACTAAAGTAAGTGCAACTCTCTGGTATTTCAATGCGCTCGAGGCGTTAGAATGGACTGTTCACCGTTAGCAAACGATTTTGAAGATGTAGTGAAGTATTGATTCAACAAGTTTTGACATGTTTTTCTTTTGGCTTTGACAGCCTCTGGATCAGAAACAGCTGCAGTCCCTATTGGAGCGATTCATTAAGAGGGACTTGGTGAATGTACCACCCATGACAGACGTCGGCAGCTAACGAGTGTTCCAGTTGTACTTCGTTGAGTTTGAAGGGAATTTTTGCTCGCTAGGAAAAAGTGGGTAGGGTCAAAGAGCACTTTGGCCGTGTATGCTGGTAAATGTAAAGGTTAATAAGAATCGGTTTGAAGTTTGTGACGCGCATTTTTTTCCTCAGATCAATTTGAGAATCGTTTCTATGTGCTCTTAAAATCAAGGTCCACGGAGTATCGGCGTGAAGATAGAGGCTTCAGGCGGCGCACCAGATCTGTTAGATCATTTTACTAATTTACACGTGCCAACAACTGCTCCTCGCCGACTCGGACGTTTCTGAAAGACCTCGGACCATTTTAGTTCCCTCTCTAATTCTCGTTCTCACATCTTCTCTCGCCACTCGGTTGTTCCACTCACAATGTTAACGAGCTTAAAGAAAGACTGCTACAATTACAGTAACATTTTCTTCATTTGGCATTTAAAATATGTTTTAATAAATTGGGCATTCTGGACCTGCAAATTGTTAAGATTCACTCTGCGATCTAGCACTTGCAGAGGGTCCTCAATCGCGAAACATGCTTTACCGAATCAAAAGTCAGTATGTCAGATACTGACTGTCAGAAGTGAGGGAACAAAACCTCACTGATAGTCATTTCATTGTTGGAGGGAAATCGCCGAAGATTTTATTTGAATGAACTTAAGAAGTTCGCCATCTGTAGCATGAGAAAAATAAAAATTTGCGTTGAAAAGATATCAACTTCGTAACGATGAATGGATCAAGCATACCTCTACAAATCCCGCGTCCCCTCGGGTGGCACTAGTAATCCGATGGAATTCTCGCTGACTGGCTACTCAAAATCTGTTGGGTGCAGCAATTATCAGGAGTTTCTTTGAACTTGTGGCACAATTACCTCCAGGGAATTGCTGCGGCTCTTTCGTACTTGCACGAGTAACGGCAGAAAATTGTTCTGCAAAGCGGGCATCGCCTGCAGCAAAGTTATGTTACGTGCTAAGTTCAATACACATCGGAGGAACTTGGAGTTCGTCTGGCTCGTTGACCAGAGGTTACTGCAATTAATCTATGTGAGTAAACGCTCGCTAAGCTACATGCCGCTAGAGTTTCTCTTGTAAACAAAAGCACAGCGAAAGCAGATGTGGACGTCATTGGAGTCTTGCTGCTTAGAGTCATGTGGAGGGCGACCACTGGATATGGATGCAGTGGAACTTGGAGATGTGGTGCTGATAGATACGTGCTCTCGAAACCGGGAATCTTTTGAGAATCGTAGACTGAATGCTAGGAGGTAAAGGAACTTCAACTGCATGGCCCTTTGAGACCAGTTACCCTGTTTTCAATGATGAGACCAGCAAACTTGGACACTCATTCAACCGGTATTACATTTGAGGGGAATTAGTGCTATCAGGATCCAAAAATTGTGCGGTTGAAGCACATCACGTGGCCAGTGAAGAGAACAGGTGAGATTTGCGTCTGGGGGGTCCCAGTACAAAGGTCAAGCCTCGAGAACACTAAATTTGCACTGACGCCACTTGCGTATCTACGGATACCGCAATTTCTATCAGTTAGATTTCGAGGTTCTCTTCACAATTGGTCTCTTCAAATTCATATACGCCCCTACTCATTGCGAGATGCAACAATTACCAACATCAATGTGATCATTCGCTAACTGATCTCAACTGCAGCAACGAAAATTGCTTGTGTCTGTTCTTCAATGGCAATGTAGGAACTAATTAGTCAATGCATTGCATTCGAGATAGTCATACAATTAAATGAGATTATAAAACCATCAGTAACTTCCACAAATAAACCGCAAGAGCACTCCTGTCCGTTGCCTAGCAGCTTGGGTAACCGGCGCATCGGTTCGTAGCGATGGACATCTCCGTGGCTTTTCATTGACACTGTGGGCTTCGTAAATCAATACGTGTACGCGCTAACGGTTGTGTGCACCCAAAAGTGTACTCATTATTTGCTAACTCGTGCTCATCCACAACGCAGCACAATTACAGATTCCACTAAATGTTTTTACCTCAGCCACCACCTCAGATGACAAAATTTGGGAGCTGGATTTAAAGACAAAAATGGCTGCATGAGCAGATTCTCGTTCAGCACCCTGCCCTACCATCTGCTTCCATTGTAGACTTCTGTAGACCCAAAATCTCGCCACAACGAGTGACTGATAAAAACTAAGACGCTTGGCATCCCTGATCACCAGGCATGTGACAAAATCCTATTAGAAAAAGCTACAGCAATCCTGTAGACATGATAAGTTGCGTAAAACTATCAAAGACTACCTGGTGCTGTTAAAGTGACCAAAGATACACTTTCATACGCGGCTCACTACACAGGTGCCTTGGGTCCGTCTTTGGATATCCAGATGAAGTATGACAATCCAGGATCCTCTCATTGTCATTCCGTGATAGTTTGAATTAAATGATTCACAAGTGCCATGCTTATCAATGTCGGAAATGACGAACTTCGGTGAAAAGCATAGCTACTCCATACTTGTTGCAACAGTCAATAGCGTCTTGGTCACGCATGCTACCACCAGGCTGTGCTATGACCTTCACACCTGCCTTGCAAGCCTCTTCAACAGCATCGTTCCAAGCAAACGGAAAGAATGCATCGCTTGCGAGAGCAGCACCTTTTGCTTCCTCCCCAGCCTTTTCCAACGCTATTTGCAAACTCTTGATTCGGTTCGGTTGGCCACTTCCCATTCCTAACATCCGGCTATCCTGAGAGATTTCAAATTGTATCAGTATCAAGTAGTCAGCGAACCAAGATAACGAAAAACAAGTGATAAAGATCTCTGTTATTGCATCATACTGATGAGAAACATTACCAAATTAGGGTTCGTGTAGAGAATACTGACATACCTTAGCTACAACAATGGCGTTGCTTTTCACATGCTTGCAGCATAGCCAAGCAAATTGAGCATCATCCACGAGCTCCAAGGTTGGCACCTTGCTTGTAACAACTTTAAACCCAAGGTCTTCTGGTGTCTTGTCATCAGAATCCTGGAGCAACCAACCGCCCCCAATTTGTCGCAAAGACCGTCGACCCTTTTTGGTATGTTCAGCCTTCAGAATACGGAGAGTTTTAGATTTCCCCTTCAAAATCTCTAGACCTTTCTCTGTGTAACTGGGAGCCACCACAATTTCATAAAACATCCGGGTTTCACAATCTGTGGGACTACGAAACTCCCGAATCTCGCGTGCAAGGGTCTACAAAAACACACGTCACCAGGTCATTACAAAGAAGAATAATAAATACAAAATCAGATCAAATCACGAAAATGAGAACTGACAAAAGTGTACAAAGAGCCAATTAAGAGTTTACCTCATCTACTTCCACATTGAATGCGACAATGCCTCCAAATGCACTAACAGGATCAGCCCTGACTGCAAGACGGTAAGCCTCCAACAGTCCTTGATTTGGACCAACAGAGGCAACTCCACAAGGATTAGTATGCTTGACTACCACACATGTAGGATTGTTGAACTCGCATACACAATTCCAGGCTGCATCCGCATCCAAATAGTTGTTATATGACATTTCCTGCCCAACAAGAATAGTTCAACATCAGAAAACTTGATCCTCGACCACATAAAAAACGCCGGAGACTGACAGAGCATTACAAAGTCTCAATTCGCAAAGGTCATTTTACAATCATCAACTAGAGTCACAGATTATAAACAGAAAAAACCCATCAACTTACCTTGCCATGATATTGCACTGAAGTGGCGATGCCTCCAGCCCTGAATTCACAAAGTGACTTGTCCTCGTAGAAAGCAGCCCTTTGATGTGGGTTCTCACCATACCTTAACTTTTGTTTCAAAGTCAGAGGTACTGTCAGACTTGGTGGAAATTCAGTTGTTTCTTCTGGGAATTTCCAACAAGAACAATTAACAATGAATCAAGAGCAACCAGCAATGTTTTATTTTTACTCCAAACACACACTTCAAGTTGTTCAGCCGCAAAAAGCGTTTATATCAATGAGATCAGCTAACCTTCAATCTCCAACCAGCTGCGACTAACAAAAAGTAGTTACGAAAAATATGGACATACCACCATCTCGCTGATGCTTCCATAACCATTCAGCCACAGCTGAATCGTAAGATGACGCATGCTGAAACGCTTTCCACGCCAACCTTCTTCGGAAGCTGATGCTACTATCATCACCTTTTTGAAGCTTTGCTAGAACTTCTGGGTAATCATCGGGGTCAACTACTACCATCACATCCGTGTGGTTCTGTAAGAGCAATCAATTTGCATGTCTTAGTTCTAACATACCAGAATTGATAAGGGGTAAAACGAAGCTGGATCTTTCCTATGCATGTTCTTAAATTGTTCAAGATTGGGATTGGAAGCATCCAGAATGAGATATATGAAATGATAAAGTCACCTATACGAGATAGTTAGGATGAGGTACATAGAAAGAGGGAAAAGACGTGCAGCAACAAATTTGAAAATGTTCAAGTGTCAGAATAGAACTTGGGGATCCAGTGAATCACCAGGTATAGAACGGTAGTGGACTTAATAATGACAAACCTGAGACACAAGGCGTACCTTACCTTTGCGGCAGCTCTAATCATAGATGGACCTCCAATGTCGATGTTCTCAACCCCCGTCTCAAAATCTACGTTTGAGGATGTTACGGTACTATAGAAAGGATATAGGTTAACCACCACCACATCGATAGTTCCTGTAAGAAAAGAAAACTCCAACAGATTAGGGCTAACTAAAGAGGTGTCCTCGTAACGAGCACTGATATCAATTCAGGTAGTCAGGAGTGTAGTTTCAAGACACAAGGCCTTCGACCCGGTGCTAATTTGTAGATAATATTAACTCAATCCTCAACTTACTAGGATTATGACTATCCATAATGTTGCAAAGGCGACACAAAGATGAGCTCACCAATTCCATGCTGCTGGAGTGCTTCCATGTGGGACTGCATGTCTCGCCTTGCCAAAATACCGCCGTGAACTGCTGGATGTAATGTTTTCACGCGCCCATCGAGCTAAGAAGAACAAAGATAATTCACGACTGTCAGCTCAAGATTCCAAAGGCTCAGCTAAACAGTTCAAGGTTTAGGTATAATACCGCCTCACAACTTCCAGACACAGCAGCATCGTCTTATGCAGAAAATCTATGTAGTAGGAAACAGCTAAATTTTCTTCTATTGCGACAAGGTTACCCTCCCATTTATCGAATAAGAAAACTAGTTCAACGGAAACGGCGGAATTTAGAGTCAGACGAACACATCAAACAGGCAAATGGTGAGAGATAGAGAAACTTAGCATTCCTTTCGGAGAAAATAATTGCAAACTTTCTCACCATTTCCGGAAACGATGTTAGCTCTTCAACCCTTGTGACAGAAAAGCCTGCCTTTACAAGGGCAGTGGCAGTACCGCCTGTTGATACCAACTTATATCTGCAAATAAACCAGCCATCCAATACCACTTACGACAATTCATCTAAAAGCTTGCTCGTAATTGAAGACTTGTAAAGTAGATAATCATATGTTCCTAGAAGAAACTGAAGTTCAACATAGTCATTTCCTTCCGAAAGATCACACTACACAAAAAGAATCCCATGTTTAAGTACTAAGAAGAAGACAGCAGTTACAATGGGGTAAGCGTACCCAAGATCACCGAGTCCATTGGCAAGTAATTCAAGGTTTCGCTTATCAGAAAGCGAAATGAGCGCCTGCTTCGCTCCTGCAGGATATAAATTGCACCCAAGAACATCACGGTACACACAAAAACATCGAAAAGTGGGCCGTCGAAACAAAAACAAGACAGAATTCATCACGGAAAAGTACATTTGTTTCTGCAGAACATACACCCAAACCTAACAGATGACAGCTCCAGAATTCTAAGCGAAAACCATTACAAACCCAACCACAAAAACCAAACACGACCACTGACAGCAAACTCAATCAACAATTCCGCAACAGAAAAAACTCCTGCAACAACAGACCCGACATTGGCTGAAGCCAATTAGCTCACCCTGGCTGGTGGCCCCGGGACTAGACGAGGACGGTGAGACGGCGGAGACGGGGGACACATTGGCGGTCCTGGTAGCCGAGACGCGAGGCGCGCCGGTCTTGACCGAGGAGGAAGAGGAGAGGCGCTGCTTGACAGAGACAAGGTCCCGACTGCCTCCAACGTGGGAGCTTCGGGACGCGGCCATGGAAGGAGAACGACGGGACTGCGCAAGGGAGGAAACAGAGGACGAAGAGGAGGAGAGATTGAGGGAGAGCAGCGAGAGGGAAGCTCTGGAAGTGGCGGCCATCGCCATGGCAGCAGTGCTGATGCTCTCAGTCTTGACTGGGACTGGAGTGGGGCAACGGGCACTTTGGCTAGGGCAGGCAGCGAGGACAGCACAAGGTACCCTCTCAGTCAGAAAAACAGAACGTCTCTCCCTCTCTCTCACTCTCTCTGTCTCTTTTTCTCCCCCTGTCTTAGTCTCCTGGCAAGGACGACAATTCAACCCTCCTGCCTTTTGCAATTGCTCCTCTTCCTCTGAACGATCAAGTGATGCTCTGTTATGAATGACTGGACAGTGTCCGTGCTGCCTCACTTCTTGTCAGCCTGGAATCTGGGTTTAGGATTTAAGCTGTTCACCTCCATCTGGTCCCGTCCGATTCCCGCGCATCCGATTTCCAGGTTCGAATTTTCCCAGCCCTTGTCCAACCTCCTGTGTTCTCTTTCGATCGAGGCTCGATGTAAGAAATTCTATAGTTTTGAAGAGCAGTCATCAATGCTTACGGCTGTGCGAGTGGTTGGAGTTCGTCCGCCAAGCCAAGGGTGAAATTTAGAAACTGGATGATAAATTCTAGAAGTAAGTTACCTATTTGTAATGCTGAGTCGTTCGAATGGACACGACTCAGTAAGGAGGAACTTGAATTTTGCAATTACTGGGTACCTGAAAATGTGAACATGTTTCAGTTGGAGGAGTCGACGTGTGTGAAAGAAACGAGAGGAATGTGAGTGGAGAATAGTGGAATGTGCTATTCTAAAAGTATGGATCGAATTGTATGTTGAACTGGGCTTGCTACCCTAAGAGGTCTTTAACGTGCTGTTGTGATAAGAGCAAATGGAGAATCAAGGGGAGAATCTTGACGAGAAAGCAGCTTGATAAGAGCAATTAAAAATGGGTCAACTCTTGTGGAACTCCGTGTTGTTTTATATTCCCGCAAGATTTGGTGTCAAAAGCTTGTCTTTATGCGGTAGTGATAATGTGATAATCGTGATTGCAAAATGATTGATAGGGGCTATACATGAATGTGGTTATGCGGCGTTGATTGAGGAACTTCTGGAGGATCGGGAGATGCTCTTGGAAGCGCACTTTGCCGTTATGTGCAATTGTTGGAACCAACTGATGATAGCAGTGCTCCTTGAAGGTGATGAATCGATGTGGAAGATGTACTTTAGATTTTTCTCTCGTTTTCCTTTCGTAACCTTGAAATTCTTTCAATACTTCGACGCGAGCTAAGATGCTCTTTCGTGAAGAACATCTAGAATCGTGTTGAACGGCTGCTTGTTACAGCAAGCTAACTGGCGAAGAACACCGTCAATTTAGCTAAAAAATTTCATCTTTTCCTTTTATCGTTGCATGATTCAACGGGGCATTTGGAATTCTCCTAATTCACGAAAACATAGTTATATTCAGTTGCATATCCAGTCACAACCGTATCTCAACTCCAATTAGACGCGACGACTACCCACTGCCTCGTGACATGCACGAGTTACAGAACCTGCTGTGGGAGATTGCCTCATCAATTTGTACAGAGGCTTCAAATGAAGCTGCAACCGTTCAACATAATTCGTGAGGCATTGGGATTAGGTGTGATGCGAATCAATTACAGAGAATTTCCATTGTGCTCTTGACCCAATGACCTAACAAGGACGTGAACTTCTCACGAGTGTTACCTCTGTGGTAGATAGCGCAGATGTCCGAACACATGGAAAGTCTATTTTTTTAGAGGAATTGTCCACTCTGGAGGAGAATTAGATTCAGATAATACGACTTGAAATGCGGTGCTTCGCAATACATTTGCAGAATGTGACAAATTACATGACGAAACTAAGCGGATCTGTGGGGTTGAGCGCATAAAGATGGATCAACAATTATGTAGCGACATCATAAATTTTGCAATATGTTATTACTGTCTATTCTCTTCTTTTCGTGTGCAAATCCTTGATAATGTTATCCATTCATCTACGAGATTAAAAGGCAACTATTTGCTAAGGTGCTGCTCTGAACTTTTTTGATACAGCTATAACAACTTATTGGGAAAGGTGTAACATGTTACATATTATTGCTCGAGTACCTCACAATCGAGTGTAAATGAAACTCAGCTTGAAAAGCCCAAATACTTTGCTTTGGGCTGTGCAAGGAACTTGATGATCCCCTAAACCACAGCACTCCACAGTATTCAGGGATCCAAATCAACGTCAAAAAATTGTCGCCCTAGCCCCAAACTCTTTTCTCTGCACTTGAAACATAGCCTCGAAAAGCACGCTGAGCAAGGTTGTTGCTCAGGTATCAGCTGTCTCCTTGATGGAGAAATTCAGCAAGCACTTTTGAAGCAAGCTGCGAAGCACTGACACCTTGCCCTTCAGCTGCCTTTGACAGATTGGCATGCACGTCTGTGTCTAAGTAAACACCTACTTTCCGGCGAGACTTGCGAGGTTCAGTGTAATTCTCAATGTAGGTCTTGAGAGCGCCAAACCCCTGCCGTGAACACAATGGACAGGCCCACACATCAATACCAACTCTAACGTAACCGAGAGTCAGGACTGGGCAGGATAGTATATTAGAACCATAACTCACGGGTGTACAGGACGCACCTGTCTGAAGGAAAAGTCGCCGAATGACTCGCCAACTTGCCGCTGAGATTTCCACATGTAAAAAAGAGGTTCCAGCACTGATTCTAGCTTATCCAACTTCACTCTTTCCATGAAAGATTCTGCCAACCTCGTCTGGTTTGGAGATCCACCTAGATATATCTGCACCACAATCAACAGATTGAAACCCTAAGTTTCACAAAGGAAAAAAATTAACTAAAACTGATGTTGGTCTGTGAACTAGAGTGCTTGCGAAGCGACAAGACATTAAATTATACCTGGTAGCTGTTTGGGCCGTCACCAACTAGTCCGAGCTCTGCCATGTATGGCCTAGCACACCCGTTAGGGCAGCCGGTAATTCTCACCACCAGCGATTCCGTGGACTTTAATCGCACTTTCTCAAAAAGATTCCGGATTCTTTTCAGAATGTCAGGTGCTCCTCGCTCAGCTTCTGCAATGGCAAGTGGGCACAGTGGCAACGCTGGGCATGCCATTGCTGTCACATTCAATGGATCCACGTACCTTGGTGACTGCAAGAGCACAATGTCCTCTTAGGAACAAACCCTGGCACCATATTGCAGAAAAAATAACGATATAAATACAAACATCCGAACCTCGATTCGGTAGAAGGGTGGGATTCGTGGCTCACCACCAATCCAACAGCAGCAAGAGCCTTGGTGATTCGCGGCCGCCACGAAGGGCGGACATCGCAGAGGATCATGTTTTGATTGGGAGTGATGCGAACATTCAAACTGTACTTCTCAATCACCTCCCGCAGGACCTTCTTTGCTTCTCCCTTAATGCGACCGTTCTCAACGTGTACACCAAAAAACAAATGCCCATCTCCCTGCAGCCATCGTTGATTCAGACGAGATAGTTAAGCCAAGCTACTTGAAATAGCAACAAAGACTACTATCTGCCCTTGATACAAAGAAGCCGAGCAAGAGATCGCTACCTGCTCATGCCACCCCAAGTAGCTCTGGAATTTAAACTCCGGGATGTCCTTAAATGGTTGAATTTTTTTGCCAAAATATTGTTCCACTACTGTCCTGAACTTGTCGATTCCCCATTCCTCAACTACATATTTCATGCGCGACATTCTACGGTCGTCCCTGCGGCCATAGTCCCGCTGGGTGGCGACAATTGCCTTCACTACGTACAGGATATCGTCCTTTGACACAAAGCCTAATTGGTCAGCCAGCCGAGGGAAGGTCGCCTCATTGCGGTGAGTTCTCCCCATTCCTCCTCCCACCTGGAAAATTTCGAAATAATCAATGAGGAAGATTGTGCCATGTAAGTGGTCTACAGAACAATTCGATAACCGACAAATTGCTGTGATACAAGAGAGATGGCACTACTCACATAAAGGTTGTAACCTTCCACTTCGCCATGCTCGTCGCTAACGACAACGATTCCGATATCGTTAGTCAAAACGTCAACAGAGTTATCCCCGGGCACAGTGATCGCAATCTTAAACTTCCGTGGCAGGAACTGTATTCCATAAATCGGCTCGGGAGAATCCTCAAAATTGGTCCCATGGGAGTTATCATTCCTAGCCAGGGTCACATCCTCCGGCTCGTCTTGAGTAATCTTCTCCCCATCAACCCAAATGTCGTAATAAGCGCCAGCCTGGGGTGCTAACAATGAGGCAATCTTGGTCGACAGCTCTGTGGCGTGCATGTACTCTGTGGTTTTGAAAGGCGCTGCAGGGGCCAGAACGTTTCGATTAACGTCACCGCAGGCTCCCAGAGTAGAGCCCAGGTTGTGAATAATGCTGCTCATCACGGTTTTCAGGTCGGTCTTGAGGACTCCATGTAGCTGGAATGTCTGCCTGGTGGTGAGACGCAGCGTGCCGATACCATATTTGTCTGCGAGCTCGTCCATGACAAGGTACAAGCGGTTGGGGACGATTCCGGAAGGATTTTTGGTCCTGAGCATAAATTGGTAGGCCTTTTTACCGGGGCCTCGGAGCTCACGGTTGTCTTGCTGGTAGCTCCCGTGGAATTTGATGAGTTGCACGGCGTCCTCGCTAACGTTTGGAGCGTCTGTCGTGAGGTCCTCCTTCAAGGGGTGGCGCAGAAAGTCACTGTTTTGCTTGATGATCTCGACCTTGCTCCGCTTCGGGGGCATTGTTGTGGGTGGCTTCACGGGCTGCGCCACAGTCACCCACGGTTTCAAAACTCAGCTCTTAGCATTCGTCGTGCGCTTAAAGTTCAGACTGAATGATCAAAATCTAACTCATACTCGCAAAGAACTCTAGGGTGTGCCTAAAGGGCGCAGCGACGCAATCCAGGTAAGAGAGGCTGATGATTCACAAAAAAACAAAACAAAACAAAACAAAAACAAAGTTTTCAAATCGTCAAAAGGAACTGCAGCAATGATAGCAAAAATCCCAGGGACATTTACCGTGGCCACGGCCCTGACGTCAAGAGAACCGGGCAACGACACACCACGAACTGTCGCCCGCTGCTGCCCCGCGGCGCTCACCCTCAATCCATCGAAGGCCGCAAAAGGAGCTGAGACGCCAAGCGTCATCTCCTTGAGAGAATTCATCTCTTCACACTAAACGAAAACACCAACAACACCAACACCAACAAAAACAACACTGATGAACTCCGCAAACCCGCCTCCAAGAGCCCAGTCTTAGACTAAACCACACTACACCACGCCGCACTCCACCCCACCCCAACTGCCGAATCTAATCTATCCACTAGACGACAACAAACCCTGCCATTCCCCCTCCTCCTCTCATAAAAATCTACTTTTGATCATCACCAGCACCGTTAGCGAAGGGGGCTGCAGGGGAACACTGTCGATCTAGCCGCTGCGGGAGCTACTGCACTACTTCCGAGAGGAGGCTTAACCACCAGACTTGACCACCAGCGCTGCGACCGCATCCACTTCTTCTTCTTGCATTCGGCCGTCCATTGGGAAGCGAGATAAGCGAGAACTAGGTTGGCTTTTCCGGTGCGGAGTAACTTAAAGCATCCGATTGATTTCCGTGAGGAGGAGGAAGGAAGGAAGGAGAATCTGCGCAGAGGTCGCGAGTGATGGATTCTCTCGCAACCGCAACCGCAACGCGACCATGAAAGTTCGTTCGAAAGTGTGACGGACTCGTGGCTCAGGAAAAGTGGCGACTGGGGGGCGCACGGGCGCCAGTGGCGGATCGGACGAGCTTGCACTGCCCGCGATGTACCTGGCCCGGAATCAGGCCTCAAGCTTGCACGGGCCGGTTTCTGCATTGGGAATGCGTTCGGCTCTATCCAAAGCCCGTGGAACACGAGTCGACGAAATTGAATAGATGGATGAATAGACGATGTGGTGGATGAATAGAAACCCATTGGAAGAGTGCCCTTGAGCAAACGGTGAGTCTCTACCAAATGCAACGCTTTTCATCTCGAACTACTTTTCTTTCTTTCTTTCTTTATTTCTTTTTCTTTCTTTCTATTCTTCAAAATAAATTCATTATGATATCTTTCTTTCTCTTTTTATTTTTATTTTTTTATTGTTGTTGTTGTTGTTGTTTTCTTATGGCTTCCTGGTACTTTGAGTGCATATATTTGGACAATCATATCTTTTGCAAAAATTGTTCAATCATTTCAATTCAAATATCAGAAACAGTATCATTGTATATGTATTTTTATTTATATATAATTAAGAATTAAATATGTTACATTTTTTAGTAAACTTAAATACATACTATTGAAATAATAAATGTATAAATAAATATTTTTTGGCTTCTACATATTCATGTAATTTTATTCATATTTTTCTATTCATAATTTTTCTAATTGTCCATCATGTGTACAAAGCTTTTTAATATTTTTGTCTACAATTTTACACAATGACTCATTTGGCTTTGTACAATGTCTTGCCAACAAGTCATTTATTTGAGCCTTAATTTCCTAGAACTTCCTTTGATTCAACTAATGTAGTGTTTCTAAAAATAATTTGTTCTTGGATAATACTTCAATTCTATACCTTCATTCTAATTGAAGGTCTTATAATAATTGATTCATGTTTGCATATATATATATATATATATATAAAATCAAGCATCCATGTTTGCATGTCACATCAAAAAATTCCATTGACTGAAGCAGTAAGAGGCACTGCTTGGGTGCCAAGTGTATATGTGTATGTATATTTTTATTTTTATTTTTTTTAATTATAGTAAGGACACTAATTAGTTGCAAAGCTGTATGTGGAAGAGATAATTGCAATATATGTAAATCAAGTTGCAATAAAGATTCCTCAACAGAAATAACAATAAACACGATTCACATAAAAAATCAACTTTGAGCATCTATATGTAACATCAAAAAATCCCATTAGTTAGAGCAATAAAGGGCACTGATTGATTTTTGACATATATTATTATTATATTTTCTATTTTTAATTTCAATAAGAGGCACATTAAATTACAATGTAGTTGTATTGAAAGCAAATCAAGTTGCAATAAAGAGCCATTTGCAAAAGTAACAATAAACACTACTTATACCACTATCAAGGTTATGAATCTCAATCAACTAAAAGATCAACATACTCTTGTGTTACTTGAAAAGAGTGAAGAATTACTCAAATATGATATAATATTAAATTAGAATGGCTATTGCCAAAGACAAGAAGACTAGAAAGTTTTGAAACAAGACTAAGGACTAAAAAGGTATTGACAAGAGTGAAAAAGGTTTTAGTCTTGCATCTATATATACTATCTAATTAGGAGATATATGGCAGCATTCTATAGGACCTTCAACATGTATCCAATTTGCAAGAAATGTGTCTTAACTTGTAAGGCAAGTTTCCTATGTGTGTGCCACATTATTAATTTGTATCACAAGCTATTCATATGTACAACACATGGATAACTTTTTGGCAAAGTTTCTAACCTACTATTAATCTTTGAAATTAAAATTAATAAAATTAAGATATTATTTTATTAAAAAGTTGTATAGAAAAACAACTAATAGAATAAGTATAAATAATATTAAAAAAATAAAAAATAAAAATAAAAGAGTATAAAAAGCAAAGTGATTAGTTGTTCATGTGTAGAAAAGATAAGATGGTTAAAATTAGTTTAAGAAGTTAAAACAACCTTTGATAGTTATGGTAATTAGAAACAAATCACTCTTATTATATTTTAAATAATATTGATAGAAACTTATTATAAAAGCTATAAACAGATTCAAAATATTATTATTATTATTATTATTAAAAGAAAATATAATTGATATATTTACATGTTAATTCATATATTTTTGGTCTAATATTGAATAATAAGATAAAATAAAGATACAGATGATTCAAGACTAGGTTAAAGAAGACAAAGAAAAGAAGAAGTTAATGAAGATATAAATGGTTGAAGAAAACAAAGACATGATTAAGTCCATGAAAATATGGATATTTGAAGAGTAAGTAGAAGAAGACTAGATAAAATTCATAGATAAAATGAAGATAGTTTTTAAGGTAAATTATTAAGCATGGTTTTGATAAAATAAAGAGTTGTGAAAAATAAGTACAATGATAGTTCCTATGTAGGAACATAGAAGGAATACTTGAGATTCTTGAGGTGCAAGAATCTAGGTATTCATTTGTTGACCATGTTAGAAATACATTAATATCTCTAGTAATTAAATTTATAAAATTTACAAAATTATTAAAGATTATTTAATAAAAATGAGTGATTTTTCTAAATATAATTTACCAACTTTACCATGAATATTAAGAACCATAAATAAAGATGATATGAAAGAATTCTATATTGTACTTGAAACTAGAAAGATTGAGCAAATAGATCAAAAGAAGAAAGAAATAATGTCTAAATTTAATCAAGATAAAGGAAAGATACACATGAAAGAAGAATCTACATTAAAGAATATTATATGAAAGAAATTTCTTGCAATCAAGAGGTCATAAAATAATATATAATTAATAATTATAAAAGTCAAATATTATATTAGATAATAAGCAAAGAAATTGGATGTCTTAGAAGTCCAAAAACTTGAAAAGAATAAGCTGTTGAATGACATTATATTTATAGAATACATAAACGAAAAGAAGAAGAAGAAGAAAGAAAAAATAGAATTGATAGACAAAATGCTACAAGAGAAAAATATTACAATATGAAAAAATATTCTTTTGAAGAACTTAAGTTTAAAAACTTAATAGAAGATTTAAGTTCTAGTAGTAAAGATAATACAAATTTGATAAATAAAAGAGGTTTTTTAATCATAGAAGAAATTATAAGGAAGTTAAAATCATAAACTCTACTAGTAGTATAGAATCAATATAATTTTTAATACAACCTCTTAGTTTTCTTATACTATTACAAAAAATAAAAATAAAAATAAAAATCAATATTGCATTAATTATTAAACATAATAAAGCAAGTTTTTCCAAATTTAAGGCAAAAGAGAGCTAGATATTTATATTAAGGAATTTAATAATATTTATCAAGCTAATAGGAAAAATAATAGATGAAGATAAATTAATAATTTTTCTAATAATACTTAAGAAAAGGGGTTTGAGAAATATGTTTGGTAACCTATAAGATATTTTATTTCTTAAGAAGATCTTAGAAATGCATTCATTATTCATTTCAAAGAAAAGAAAAGTAATAGAAAAGTTATTGATAGTCTTTCATATTTCAAACAAAAGTAGGATGAGGATGTAGAAGAATTCTTTGAAAAAATAATATGGATAGTTAATAAACGTATTCTTCAATCTCATGATCTATTTAAAAAAACATGGTTTTAAATGGGTTAAAAATAAAATTAGGAAAATATGTATTTCTATTACCAATAGATACATTAAAAGAAGATCTACAATCAACAAGAAAAGTTGAACTCAATATACATAGGGATGAAAAATCTTATGATACAAGATATAAAGATTTGAATGAAGATTTAGATAAAAAAGAAAAAAAAGAAAAAAAAAAGTAAAAAAAAAATACTAAAGAAAATTTAAGGAAATAAAAAGAAAAAAATGATTCAATGAAGCATTGAATCAAAGTAATTTAGAATAGGTGTAGAGAAAGTCCAATAATAAAGGACATTTTTCTTTTGAGTGTCATATGAAATTTTGAACAAATTGCAATATGCACGTGTATTAAATTAATGATTGTACTTACAATTGATAATATAGAGGTAGAAGTTTAATAGTTCATGAAGTATAACTACAATTAAATAATATGAAAAGAAATTTATGAACCTATGAGAAGAAATTTATTTATAAATGAAGATAGAGGTCAAGGACGTTTGAATCAATAATATTATAGGAGGGAAGATACTATGAAGAATAATACTTATAGAGGAGAAGAAAGATATTCTTACAGAGAAGGGTATTATTATGAAGATAGATTACAACCAAAATATGAAGGGAGATATGAAAGACATAGAAATACAAATTTATCAAAAAAAGATTGTATAAATCAAGCTTAAAGGGATAATCTTAAGTGTTATTATTGCCATCGAAATGGACATATGAAAGTGGATTGTTCACTATGACTTAAACACTAAAAAGAAGCTAGAGAGGCACAAATACAAAGATAGCTGGTTGTAGCTATAAATGTAATAATACCAAAAGTTTGTGTAATGACTTGAGCTCAAAAGGATAAAGAAGTAATTAAGAATGACATAATAAGTAGTAGTAGTAGTAGTAGTGACCAAGACAAGAAAAAAAAAAGAAAAAGTAGAGAACAACTTAAATTGATAAACTCAAATAAATTGCAGAAAAATACATTTCAAGAATGAGCTAGTAAAAGAAGAATATAAAAAGATGTAATTTAAGAAATACAAAAATTACAAAAGGAATTTGGAGAAATTCCAATTTTGGAAGAAGATTCACTTAAAGATGTTGATGAAAAATTAGCAAGTAAGAATATTGAAAGAAGAGGAGTATGAAAGGAAGGAAAGATTGAGAAAATAATTGGAAATATATTTTGAAAGACAAAAGCAAATATATCTATAGGACAACCATTGGAATTAGATTCATATTGCAAAAAAAAGGCTATAGAAGCATTTCTTCTTGAAAGTAATCTTGAACCAAGTGCACTAAAAGCTTATGTTGTTAGTGAAGTTTATGATACATAAATGCCTATGATTACTATTAAAATTAAACATCAAATTATATAAGATATATTATTAGATAGAAGTTTGACAATAAATATTATCAAAAGAAAATTATATAAAAAGTTAGATTATAATAAGGTTGAATTAATACCTTTTACTATAAAAATGGCTAATGAACAAAAAATGAATCAAATAGTATTATTAGAGATTTATGTATACAAATAAGAAAATTTATTTATAACATTATATTAATAGTTTTTAAAATATAAAAAAAATTCAAAGCTATTCTATGTTATTAGATCAACCATGGCTCAAACAAACAAGGTCTAAACAAGATTGTTGATATAAAAAAATACTATTTAAAAATATAAAATTAGTAATTTTTAAAATTTTATAATTTAATATTATAATTTATTTATTTATTTATTAAGTTTTAATATTAATATTTAATATTAGTTTTAAAATACCAAAATACATATAACATTGTAAATAATATTTAAAGATTTTTTTTGTTGATACTAATTATTTTATTTCATTTTATTTCATTTATATATGAGAGGTTTCAATTATACAACATCAATTTACATATCTTCTATATTTGATTAAACATCTTAATTGGTAACATTATATGTTAAAATAGTATAATAAGATTAAGGTGCTTTAATTGGTTTTTGTAATTTAAACTCAAAAAGAAGGTCTTACAATTGACAAAAAAAATCAATTTCTTAATGCAATTTTTGAAAATTAAAGATATTGTATAATTCTCATTTATATTATGTTATGACATAATTTTTTATACTTCACTCAATTGATTGATAAGCACAATTTTTCTTTTTTGGCATCAATTATTAGTTATTAATATTTTTATATGTATGCAAATATATATTGGTTTATTTGATATAAAATCAATATATATTTTTTAATAGCTTTAAATTTAGCTTTAATTAAATCATTTTATAGCTATAATTTATATTTTTTAAAGCTATTATTTTAAATCATTTTATAGCATATAATAGAATAAAAATAATAAAAATAATAGCTTTAAAAAATTTTAAAAATAGAAAAAAAATTAAAATATATATATATATATATATATTTATATATTAATCTTTTTAAAAATAAAATTTGAAAAATAATAATTAATTTTAACAAGAAAAATAAATTATTTATTATAAATCTAAAAGAACTTTTATAAAGACAACATACTTGGATACTATTAGGAATAAAAAAAGAAAAAAGAAAAAAGATATATATATATATATATATATATATATATAAAAAATTATAAATTTGATACAATTCTATTACATCATATTTTTTTTATTATTGTAAAGTACTATAGTCTTGTTTAGTAGAATTTGGTTTAGTTTTGTGTCAAGTTTTCAAAAAAATAGAATTTTTGTGTTGTATTATACTTAAAATATTAATAATTACTATACTTAAAAAAATTAAAATTTTAAATAATTTTTTCTATAATTATTAAAGAAATATGAATTAATTAGTTATTTTTTTAATTTATTCTATAAATACACCAAAATTTTATTATAGCTCTATTAAATAAATTTATATTTTTTTAAAAAGAATTTAATGTAGAATTATTGATAATTTAAATTTAAATTTTTTAATATTAGAATTATATAATATATATCAAAAATACTAAAGATTTAACTAAGATAAAAAAATAAACTATAAATTTTTATCTAAATGGATAAATTTTAAAATTAAGATATAATAATTTTAGATTATTATTACCAACTAGAACAAAAAAGTCCAATAGCACAAGGTCAGTTGAAGATGTAAAGAGCAATAATTGGGAGTAGATAAGAGACACACTTATAATGATGCTATTAAAAATGGACACATAGCTTGAGTTTGGGCCATAATAATAGACTATTTAAAGCTTAGATAGTCATTGCTTTAGGTAGTTGTAAACTAATGTAGAAAGTATGACAATAGTGGATATAGTCAAATTTAAGGTAGAATAGTGTTTGGCCAAAGGCTATGAATTTTTAAAGTATATACAGTAAACAAAGCTCATTACTAAAGCAATGTACATAATACTATTTTTAGATATTTAACAAAGTTTTGTCTTATGTTTGATGGTTACTCCAAAAGCTCAAGTAACATTCATTATTGAAATAATTATACCTTTTGCAATTTAATATGTTTAATCTATTATACTCTTTTTGATATATTCTTGATTAGCTATAATTTAAAACTAAAAAATAATACCCTTAAAATAGCATAAATTTGATGTCTTGACATAATTCATACCATTTTAAGAATTTAGAGATCATTCTATGATGCTTCATTCACATGAAGAGGGAAGTAAATGCTTTATAATACTATTTACAATATTTTTTTCCTTCAGAAATTTAAAAAAAAATAAAAAAATAAACTCTTAAAAAATAAAAGTTTTTAGTGATAAATTTTATTTTTTCTACAAATAATGATATCCAAATATGTGAATTATTATTTAAAAATATATTTCATATATTTAAGAAATTATTTAATTTTTTATTCAAAACAAAAACATATATAGAAAACAAATTAGCTAACCTTTTTTTGCTCTTGAAACTTTTATAATAATGCAAAATTATTATTTGAGGCAAAAAAATTTCAATCAATTAGAATTTCATTAATGTGTTTTTGTATTGAAAGAGTGTGTTATGAAATCTTGATTGATTTTTATTTATTTTTATTAATTAAAAAAATATTTATCACACATGTGATTGGATGAAGTAAGGGTGCGTGGCTAGCAAGGCCGGATGGTTGTTTAGATAATAACAAGTAGCCTAGATTGTAGGGCTTTAATAAGAATGATTTTTTGTCTTGACTTCAATGCATCACCTTTCATAATTAATAATCTCTATGACTTTCTATGTTTTCTTGCAACACATGATATTATTTAATGATGGAACATTGAACACATTGGTCATTTAAAATAATTATTTACAAAATAATGCCTCATAAGGTTAAGCATTCAATTCAAATAAACATACCAAGAGCTATAAAAAAAATATTTATCAATGTAATATGATAATTAAGCTGCATTCATTTATTATCAAACTTAACATGACATAATTTCTAAGCCTATCTTTCACGTTCATAAAACATCAAATCAAAAAAAATTATGTTGAATGTTTCCCTACCAACTCAATACAAATGAAAATGGGAATTATTTGAGAAAACAAACCAACTAAAACTGTAAAGAAATAAGGCTTATCCCTCAATGTAAGTAATAATCAGTACCACATTTTCTGAGGAAACTTGGACTAACTTGCAAGCGAAAGCTGAGCATGAAAGCAAAGGGAGGTGGCGCTGCTGCAATTGGACCCAGAACAGCAGCCGCCACCATTTGCTCAATTTTTCCCGGCACCCAAATTCTAAACGCCGCCAGATTTCCACAGGGATCGCAGATCAAAGACCTGGGCGTCGTAGACCCCAGCGAATCAGGCTGGGCCATGAAGGCTTCTTTGAGATGGGGATGAAGGATGGCTTGTCCAGCTATGGGGCCGATCCGGATCAGTCTGCATCAAATCTGGGCATTGACATCGATGAATCTAAGTTTACGAATTAATTTCACCGTTTGTGTACGTGCACAACTTCTGTGAAACGTAATGGCGATACGTTTAGCAGGGAGACTTTGCTGCTGTGAATTATTGGCGTGATCATCATTTTGTTTGGTCACACTAAGTTGGAATACTTGTTAGCAGTCGACTGGCATGCTCGTTTCCCGGAACAGTTGGGATTTGAGATATACTTACATACATGGATACATGGATACATATTCATAAACGTGTGTTGTATTATCAACATTTTTCCTAGTCCAATCTTTTTTGAGAAAGTTGTCGTTTTGTGATTTTATCAAGTATCACAACTAGCTAATTTCCATTTACATTCTAAGATTATTTGCATCATTTAGGTTAGCAAACATGTCGAGATATCAAGCTTCTGAATGTTAATATCAATATTGAGTTAATCACCAACTGGAAAAGATAATTATTCTCGAATCGTCAACATAAATTGGTACAAAGTAAAATATCTTTAGCTAAATCAAATTTGGCAAAAAGTTTTAAAAGTTGTTTATTTATTAATGAAGAAAACTTAATATGTAGAAAGTAAGAGTAGATGGACATGAGAATAAGCAGAAATTTATTTTGACACATTGAGGAGAATGGTACCACTGAACGTGTTACAATTCCATGAAGGTTAAATTATATTCAAGTTCCATGAACATTATTCTCAGATATGCATTTGATTGAGGCAGTCTAAATTTCCACAAACGAGACGCCTGGCCCAACACCAAGATAAAATTTTGCTTCTTTGTACAATCTAAGCAATTAAGGGTGCATACAGCTTTATTTTGCTTCACCTGATACCTCCTAAAATTTCATGCGAATGTATTGACTTCAACACAAACTAGATTGTCAGCAGTTGACTGACAAAACCGAAGATATAGTAGTAGCTCAACATTTACTTAGGCTTTAGCCCTTCCGCATGCCCTTGAGCTGTTCCAGTATGAGCCTGGCCGCTCGGGGTAGTAGCCCTGGATGCGGAAGGAGCTTCATCCACTTGCTCTTTTCCTGGCACAGTGGGTGGCTTGGATCCACCTCTGCTTGCAGCAATCATTTTTTCACCGGCAGAACCCAGCATACCATGGGAGGAGGCGTACCACGCTATACCTATCGAGGTCGATAATCAAGCCATCCAGGTTTGGTATCAGTGACCACCCACTGAAACATGATGCTCATTACAGTTCTCAAATCCCCTAGTTTCAAAAATTCCAAGTAAAGCTACAGAAGAGCAACCTGGACAAGTGGAATATGATCATGGAAGAAGAACATTACCAGCAGCGAACATGCCTCCCACGAACACGTATCGGAAAGTGTGTCGCGACAACATATTTCCGGGAACTTTTGTCCCTCCCCGGCCCTCGAGCCCGATCCTGCCTTGATTCGAGGTCTGAGCGGGGTCCATTTCGTCTCTAGCTCTTTCCTGCGAATCTCAAGTGTAGATGAGAAGAATTTACCACAAGAGCTTGAATACACGTACATCAGCATTATGTTCCTAGTACTACCAAAGATAACCTCACAACCCTAAGAAAGAAAATGGCACAAAACGTTTAATGCTCACATTACGAAACTGCTTGCCTGCAAAAAGAATGAATCACACTTTAAACTGCTCCGGTGCGTTTTCCCGCCAACCTTTCAATTACAAGGCTAGACACGGAAACTAGCAGAATCGTCCACGACCAACAGCAGAAGATCTGGAAAAAAACTCACCGTCAAAAAAAAAAGCAAATTCAAAGCATGCAAATCTAATCATATCTCATACCCACAAGTGCTACCGCGACAAGAGAGGGAGAGAGTTCTAATGGCATGACAAGGACATAGCATAACTGAAAAGAAAACCAAGCGAAGCGGCCGACCCGAGTTCTAAGCGGTCAGAAGAGCCTGGCTCTCCACGCAAGGTCTCAAAAGTTCCACAATCGATAAGAAGGCTCTGCACTACACTGCACACCACGCACTGCTTGCAACGAGAGCGAGTAACCCATAACCTGAGCACCGAAATACAAAGACATATAATGGGCAGTACCTTAATGACAGTAGGTGACGCGGTGGCAGCTGAGACTCACGAAGCTCGAAGAATAGTTTGTAAACAAGAGCTTGGTGTGTGCCATCGCTGATAGTACACGCCGTGGAGCACAGAAGAAAGGAAAGCATGAGAGCAGTTCATTTCCTTCGCGGCAGTGCCACTTGTTGCAGCGCCAGCGAATGCAACTTGGTATTCCCCGCAACGAACACGTTGCGAGAGTCCTGGCTTGATAATCCAGAGTCTTTTCATGCATGAAACATCTACTTTTTAATACTCTTTGCTATATATTCTTAACCCCTTAATTCTATGGTACAGATTCTTAGGTTCTGTGTTATTTGTGATTTTGATTTTGTTATTTGGTTATTTGTTATTTGGTTATTTGGTTAGTTCTTTTGATTTTGAGCATTTATTTCGAGTTTTAATGTCAACTTTTATAACACCAAAGCCTTTGTTCTCTACAACTCAAATAACACCTATTGTAACAAAATAATAAATTATGTAAAGTAAAAAATCTATACAAAATATATAATAAAATTTTGAAAGCATAAATAGAGTTACATTTGTAGTAAAATATAAACAAGGCTTACATAGTGTCTCAAATATTGAGTGAAGTTGAATGAAAAAGGTGAAAGCATTTGTTTCATTTTGACTTCTAAGGTAAGGAAAAAAGAAAAGAAAAAAAAGAAGTGATTGAATGTTGTTTGACTATTGTTGTTTAGAAGCGGCATAGATAGGGAGTGGTACAATTTTAGGATGTAGAAATGATAGAAATTATCATAGATGGCATGGAAATTATTTTTTTTTATAGTAATATTGTTAATTCTAGATATCATAAAGAATTTGTCCAAGAAATAATATGGCTTATAATTATTAATGTCAACAATGATAGCATTTGAATTATAGTATTTAACAATATTGGATATTATAAAATTTAGCCTCAAAATGCATTAGGTTTTTGGCTATAGAGAAGTTTCAACTTACCTTGATGTTGCAATTACAATCCAAAAACAATGCATAAGGTGTTTTAAAACTTCTATCTTGGAAATCTTAAACTATTTAAGCATGTTCTAAGATACCTTAAACACACCTTATTAATTCTAAAGAAATATTAAATACTTCTTATAAAATTCTTATGAACTCCAAAAAAATCCTAAATAATCCTTATCAAACTATAAAATAAATCAATCAAATCCTAATAAAATTCTAATTAAATCTTAAGTAAATTTTAATTGAATTCTAACAAATTTTAATCAAATTCTAAAGAAATTAGAATTAATTCTAAAAAAATCCTAATGAAATATTAACTAATTTTTAACCAAATATTTAAGAAATCATAACCAAATTCTAAGCAAATTCTAATTAAATCCTAAAAGAATTTTAATCACACCTTTAAGAAATTTCAGAAAAATCTTAATTATCTTAAATTAACCATACAATATATTAAAATCCTTGCACTTTTTAATTAAATGTTGATCGTATTTCATATTATTTACACCTATCAATTTTTTAGTAGAAAAATAATTTTTAAAAGTTAATAAAAAGTTCATTTAAGTATTAACCGAAGAGATACATAATCTGCTTATGTAATAAACGGACTCCTTTTCGAACCTTAATTTTAAGCTCTTAGTGCTAAGATCTCTTGCTTGTACTATAAAATTGCTTCTAAAATTTGTGTAGATAATGGCATTTACAATATCAACTAAATTAGTTAATTTTAATCTTGTCCAATTAGTAGGTTGCTTTAAATCTATGGATTTATTTTAGAATTTATAAAAATTTTCAAAACATAAATCTTACTATATTTTTAAAAAACAAAGTCATTCAAACCAAAACTTGACTTTCCATAGCTCTCACAAAATCTATGAAAACTCAATTTTTCTAATACGTACACATGTAAAATCTTCTTTAAGTCTACTATCTCATTCAGAACCATATATTTGCTATAAGTCTTTTTTTTGGGACTTAAAGTTAAAATTTTATTGTCAAAGATATTAATTACAAAAAATCTATAAATAGAAATATATTCTTATTTTACTAAAAAGAGAAAGTAAACAATTAAAAGATCAATATAGAATTAAAAATAAAATGGCTATTGCCAAATACATAAGGCCCTATAAAGTAAGTAGAAGCCTATTTAAAAAAATAAAAAGTAATATAAACATTAAATTTTTTATTTAAAAATTAAAAATATTCTAAATTTTTAATAAAATCCTTCTAAATTATTGGTCTTTATGTAGTTATTTATTTAATAGTTGTATAATCACATGACACCATCAAAAAATATGGTTAGATGTACAAAATAAGTAGTTGTATAGAAGATGGTAAATGCTCTTCAACTAAAGTAACAACTTTGAAATCCTAAGTGTGTAAGTTAAGAGTGGATTTAGACCTATGTGTACAAGTACAAGTAATTGGGCAATGACTACCATTACTTACTATAATCCCATGATCATCCATTTGTGTCATTGTCATGGTCGGAGCTTTGATTGCTTAAATATAAATCTAAAACATAGATGCAAGTTATTAAGCTTGAATTTTTTTCGATAATGTAGTGAATTTGTTAGTAAAATTATCCAAGTTTATAATATATGTCACTGTATATAAAAAAAAAGTGAAATTCATTTTTTTTTTTAATTTTTTTTTTTTGGTTTTTTAAAAATAAACAAGTCTAAAATTTAGTGATTTAAAAGCTTCTCTCTAGTTTTAGTTTGAATAGAGTGTGTTGTTACTTTCAATCAATACTAAATAATAATCCTTCTTGTTGAATATTGATTTACTGAATTTAATCTAAACATGGTCATCTTTAAATAAAGTTGACAAGTTGTAGAGAAAATATTTGTAAAGACGAGTTTCTCAACAATTTCTAGTTGGATTGGATTGTATACAACTTTACTTCAAAAAAGATGGATAAGACTAAATTTAGATAAAAATCAGAAAAAGAATTAGTAAATTAAAAAAATCATATTTAATTATAACTTAAAAGAAGACATTTTATTATCTACAACAACAATAAAAATCTTTATTGTTGTTGTAATTGAAATTATATAAAACATAAAGCTTGACATTATATATAATCTTTTATTTTTAATTTTTTATAGTAAAAAGAAATATATTATTCTATTGGCTTAGAATAAATAAACAAATAATTCAAATAACATATATTTTTATTAAAAAAATATTTAAGATATATTATTTATAAATTCAATAAATTAAAAAATAGGTGATATTATATTCAAATTGGCTGTATTTGTTTTTAGATTTATTATTTAATTTATATTTTTTTAATATATACTATATTATTTATAGACTCGTTATAAAATTATTTTAGCACATATCTTAGCTTTATATAATTAGTCAAGAAACCATAATATTATATGAAAAGAATGTTAAATCTTGATAGTTAATTTATTAAATCTATAATAATATAAATAGATTTTTAAGGACCTATTTTCTTATAAATATAAAATATATATATATATATATATATATATATATATCTATATATTTTGATGTATGCATAAAAAATTTTGAATATAAAATAAAATTCTATATAAGTTTGTTATTTATTCTAACTTTTAAATAAGTAATTTTATTATATAACAAGTTTTAAATTGGTCCAAATAGTGATAGATTTTTTTATGAAGGTCAATTGAGCAATCATAAAGTTGGTATTTTGAGAATATATTAGAAATTTATTTTTTGAAGTACATCTTAATATATTTTTATTTTATTTTATTCTAGAATTCTAATACAATATCCACTTGAATAATGCCTTGATGCTATATAAATAACACATAGATTTATTTTATTTTATTTATTTTATACATATTCTCTTCTTTTGGTTTAAAAATATTTTATTGTTTTAGATATAAGATATTTTATTTTATTTATTTTATTTTATAGTTATTTTTTATATGTTTTAAAATCTTTTAATAATATAGCTATTTTTTATATATAGAGGTTCTAATTTTAATCTAATTTCAATAAGATTTGGAATTTAATATATACTTATTTACGTTAAATCTTATAGCCAGAGTTGTGTTAGTCTAAAATTCAATTAGTTAGTGTAGTTAGTCAATTTGTTAAGCATATTAATTATTGATATTGGTTAGAAATAAATATACTAAATGAAACAAGAAACATTAGTAATAGTGAGATTTTTTCAAAAATTTAGAAATAACTTGTTAGAAAACAATACATAAATTTTTGTTGGCTATGCAGTACTTACTCACTTGATCAATGAGCCATAATTGTCAAAGAAAATAAATTAATGTCTCTTATTGTTTATAGATTATGACTTTATAATACTCTAGAAGCAAGATGAATATTATGGTATAGTTGATACATTGAATAGTTGTTAGAGTGTACTATATTATTATTCATAGAAAGTGAGTATTTTTTAAAAATAAACTTTTTAAAGATTGTTTTTGGTTCCTAACATAAAGAAAATCAATCTTCTAATTTCTTATAGGTTTTAGAAGAAATTTGATGGGAAAATATGCCTTGTCTTATTATTATCAAAGTTCAAATATATATTTGTTGGAAGGATAATTTTTTTTTGTTTTTGTTTTTGTTTTTTTTTTTTTTTTTGTTACTCTATCAAGTTGTGCCTTAATAATTAAGTAATCCAAATACAAAATCCATATAGTCATTTATATGTACCTTACTTGGATACCAATTCCAACTTGATTACATGAAATCAAAATAATAAATCAAATTAATTGTATTAGCTGGTTTAACTTGACTAAGTCAAACCTCTTAAACTTTGTTTTGATTAGATAAATTCCTTTCTTAATATAAGAAATAAACCAAAGATGAATTAAAACTAAAAGTAAAATATATTTCTATGTATATATTAAATCATTGATATTAAGTTAGGATTCTATGAAATTTTATTTCAAAGTATAAAATATAAATTTAATTAATATAAATGAATTTTATTAGGAAGACTAAATGTGTTTGTAACTATACATTGAGAATAATTTAATTTAGGTGTTAATAACAAATAAATAAACTATGCTAGTCAAACTTCTAAGATTCTGTTTTGATTTTGATAGAGATTCCATTCAGATTGTATTTTCTATTCTGTTTTTTATCTTTCACTTGAATTGTCGTAATTAGCGCCCAGCAGCTCTACCCCCATCAAGTACAGTGAATTGTGATCGCTCCCTTGCTCACTAGATTGCTGGACCGATGCCTCATTTTCGATGTGGTTCCGCTTCCGAGGTCGTGCACTTCTTATCCTATTCCTTCTTCGACGCTACTCTAGTTAATCAACTCGGCTGCTGCCACTGCCACACTTCTCTTGCTGCCTTGTCCATCACTAACATCGATTCCTTTGCCAAACCTGCCGCCAGATTGTTCCTTCTTCGACTCCTTTGATTGTTCTACCTCTTCTTTGGGACGCATACGCTTGCCTTCCGCCGCCCTCCGCTTGATGGTATCCTTCGCCGCCCAATGGTTACCTTTCTCTTCTTGTTACTATTCTTCTCCGCTGATCACTTCTTTGCTCAAATTCTCTGCACTGCTGCTCACACACTTCTTCGTGTTCCGTTCTAGATTGTTCTTTTAGATTGCTCTTGTTAAATCACTCGCTCCTTCGTTAGCTGCTGCTGCAGCGGTGCCTTGCTTCACGTTGTTGATGGGTCACTCTCCTGTCATTTTTATTTTTATTTCTTTTCGCCTGTCCACGTTTGAATTGATGCTGCTATCTTTTTCGTTTTGCCTTGTATTCATTGTCTTCTTGCTAGCCCATCGACTTTGCCCAACACACACACACCCAATTTTGCTCGTTGTTGTCACCGCTTTCCGCAATTCCCTTGTTGCGATCACTCCTCTTTTTTGCTGATTTCTTTTTCATTTTTTGGATCGCCTTGCTCCCACTCAAAATCCCTTGCCACACAGAACAAGTCCACTGCACAAAACCTCTTTACTTATTATGGCCGCACTTATACTAGTAATGTGCTTACAGTTCGTCTTCGTTTGCTGATACAGGTCGTTCCCCCTCACGGTGTTGTTGATGATACCCAACCTGCGCCCTCGTTCATCCACCAAAGCTCCCCTCTTTCTCTTTACTGTTAAGTAAAATATGGAGTTGGTATTACAACTGCATTTATAGCGGCTGGTAAACCGAAGTGTATATAATCTTTCAGTCGCCTAATGAAAAATAAGTCGTCTTGTACATATTGCAACATGGTATCATAGCAATTAGGGTACTATTAGATTAGGTGAGCTTTGCTCTTTGCTTAGTGAGGAAAGGTGATAGAAGTACTGAATTGAAACATATCCCAAAGGATAAACACTTTGAGAAATGGCAAAAACTAGAGAAAAGTCCTTGAGTTGTGAAGTATGATAGTTGAATAAGTTACTAGGTGCTCAAAATTAATATATTTGGAAGTTGAGGATGTTTACAATCTTGTAACAAGAGAACTTATGAAGCATAGTAGAAACATAGAGGTTAATGACTTCATTTCTTATATCCATAGTAGGCAGATCCTATATTAAGACACAACTAGTAAAGGCAAAACAAAGAATACAATTAAAGCTTATTATATGAGTGGCAAATAGATTGATTGGAATAATGTTAGAATACAATAATCTTACAAATACATAGAATATTATCACAAACATCCATATATATTCTAATAATTATCTAGATAATATGAATATATAAAGGTATGTAAAAGTAGGTAATTTTAATAATATCTTGTAGAAACACTTCTTAAAAGCTTCATTGATGCAGCTTTGTCTTTGTATGTGTCTATAAGTGATTGATAGGTTGAAAATTTTGTTAACAAGTTGGCCATGTGGCACACAAATAAGAAGCTTGTTGTCCAAATAAGATACATATTCTGCAAGTTGAATATGTGTCAAAGGTCCTATAGAATACTACCACATATCTTATAGTTAGATAGTATATATGGAGGTAAGAGTGAAGCCATCTTTATTATTTTCTATTCTTTTTTGATTCTATTCTAATTTCAAGGATCTCTAATATTTTATCTTTTAGCAATAGCCATTTCAAATTTTCTTAATTATATATATTTATTAATTTATTTATTTTTCATATTTTTTTAAAAAATATCTTACTTATTTATTTTTATTTTTAGAATTCTTAGTATTGATAGATATGCTTGAAAAGATATTAAATACAAGAGACTAGTAATAAATCATATTATTAACAAATAAGTTGAATGGAATGTTAATAAAAGAAAGAAGAGACATAAGCTTTTATCTTACAAAAGCCATAGAGATAAAGAATCGATTGAAGGCCTTTGATAAAATCATTATAAACAAAACACTTATAAATATTGTACTCAATAGGCTAGTGCTAAATCACAAACTTGTGATCTAACGCATTACTTACATGGATCAATCCATATTCAAAGATGTCATAGATAAGATCTTAATTTAAATCTATTATATGGCAATAAGAGAACAAAAACTAAGGCAAGAAGAAGCATTGATAGTATAATTTCAATATTTCTACTTTAGAGGGCAAGGACAAAGTTACTTTGTATAAGGAGAGGATTGAAAAAGAAGAAGTTTTGTCCAAGTAGCACATCAATAGTTTGAATGACTAATACTTTACATGATAAATCAATCTCAAATCAAACCAAGAGAACCACAAAACTACTTGGAATCAAGAGCATAATCTTCTTAGATTCTAGTATTTAAATTTGTACAATATCAAAACATCAAATCATATTTTTTCTACACTTATAAAAGGCCACACCATATTTCTTGCAACTACCTAAAAAATCAATATTAAAACACTAATATAAACTATAAAGAAGGAAATGTGTACAAAGAATATATGGATGAGATTCTAAAATAAACTTTGTTGATTATTAAAAAAAGAACTAATACATTTACTTAAGAGCTAACAATCATTTTATTATAAAGATTTTAGATTGCAATGAAAATTTAGATTATAAGCAAAAAGAAAAAGAAGAAGAGAAATAAGCAACTTAAGAATTGATAAAAGAAGAAAATATATAAGATATGAGTTTAGCAACTTCTTGATCAATCATGGAATAAGAAGACAACTTACTATGGCTTGCACCCTGCAACAAAATGAGATAAGTGAATGTCAAAATATAACACTAGTTAAAATAGCATACTTAATGTCAAGTGCGTCTTAACAATTTGGATATCTTTGAACTGAAGTTATTCATACAACCACCTACCTAATAAATCTAACCTCAACTAGAGCTAATAGACGGTGTAATTCTAAAACAATTCTATTAAAAAAGTAAATCATATATAAATCACCTATAAATCTTTGATTCAATTGTATATCTACATATTTTAAAAGAAAAAATAATCAAAATATGAGAGTATAGTTATTAAGTGTATATTTGTAGGATATTAAAGCCAAACAAAAGTATACATAGTTTTTGATCTTTTTTACTATAAAATACATATTAACCAAGATATTATATTTAATAAATACTTATTGAATTCAATCATGTTAAAAAAAATCCAACCACTATAAACAAATCCAAATTATTTCCATAAGTAGATGCATTATCTAAAGATATACTTAATCAATTAATGATTTTTGAAGTCCTAATACATGAAAATTTCAAATATGAAGAGAATAATAATTAAAATCCCTCATGGTTCACATTAATGAGTGATTTATTCTCCTCTATTCTACAAGATATATGTAGTTGCATATCTCAACTCTATCCAAAATCCATTGATGAAAGAAGATACTCTATCAAAAATAAAAAGTGAAACACATAATATAAAGATAATTATTTGTTTATAGTAGAATTTATCATTGAACCTAGAAACTATGAAAAGATAATTTGTTATAGTAGATGGTAAGAAACAATCAAATAAGAAGTAGAGTCAATAAAAAAACATTATATAGAAAATAATTGATTTATTTTTTTAAAATCTAATATTAGCTAATAAATCTTTAAAAAAAAATCAAGACCTAGAAAGAATATTAAAAAGCTGAAAGCTCATATTATTGTTTAAAGATACAAGCAAGAAGAGGATATTGATTTCTTCAAAATTTATACATATGTAATTTGATGGTCCATAGTTAAAAATATTTTAACTCTAGCTACTAAAAAATAATAGAAATTACAACACTTAGATATGAAAAAAATATTTTAAAATGAAAAATGAAAAAAAGAAGTTTACATGATAATATTTCAAAGTTTTAAAGAACAAAGGTACCAGAGAAAAGTTTGCAAATTTGAATAAGCCTTATATAGCTTATGACAAGTTTTCAAAACTAAGTACTATAGAATTGATATCTACCTGTAAGACTAAGAACTTCAAAAGAGAAAAAAAGATTTAAAAATATATTTTATGATGTATAATGGATAACATACTATTATATTATTCTACATAGATAAAATTAATATCATTAGAAACAACATAGATAATATTAAAAAATTTAAAGAAAATCTAATAAACATATTTGAAATGATGGACTTAGGGCATGAAAAATTATATGTAAAAATTGAATTACAACATGCTATTAAAGACATATATTTTTATCAAAGATGGTATATCCAAACCTTATTATAAAGATTTGATTTGTCTAACTATAAACCATCATTAGTACTAATAAATCCAAAAACCAAACTACAACACAAAATTAGGATTTCTAAAGTTGATCAAAAGATGTACCAAAGTCTTGTTGGAAGACTATTATATGTAATAATAAGCCATTGGGATATCCAATTTGTAGTAGAATCAATATGAAGATACATGAATAAGCCACAATTCACACATCTAGTGGCTATTAAAAAAATCCTAGAGTACCTCAAAGATACTATAGATCATGAAATCGTCTATTCCACTAAAGATAAACAAGACTTATTAACATTTACAAATGCATATTAGACAAGAGATGCTATTATATTGTAACACAATTATATGGTGAAAGAAAAAAAGATTATATTATAGAGGAGCTTAAATAAAAATAATACAAAAAATTATCTTAAAAATATAGATAATAGACAGAGAAGTAGTAAAAATTAATAAATACTCATGTTGCCTTCTTATAGAAGAAACTTCTACTTATTATATAGGGACATAAATGACCCAAATCAAAGTAAATAAGATAAATAATTAAAGTAAGAATTTTTAAAAAGATATTAAGTATAGGTTTTAGCAAAAATTACCTCAAATTATGAAGAATTGATACCTAAAGAAGACCAATTGTAAATCAAGGTCAAAATCAGACCCCAAGGTTCAAAACCATGTACCTACAGTAATTTTGTGGTTTTTTGGTTGATCAAAAAGTGAAATTTGAAAGCTAGCTAGTGTGAAGTTTTTTAAGAGTTGATTTCATGTGATTTAAAGGCATATTGAGGTTTTGAGCACTTTTCAAAGTGAAAGATGTATTCAATAGATTTGGGTTTTGAGAGATAAAAAGAAGTTCACTAATTTGAGGATTTTGTGAGTGTTATAGCATATTTACAAGTAACTTTTTTTCAGTTTGTCATTGTATTTGTGTTAAGTGTGTTTGAAAAATTTGATGTCAATTGAATGATTAGATTGATAGTTGTGAGAGTTTTTGGATTATGGTCTTAAATAAATAAAATTTAGGATTAATGAGAGTTTTTGCAATCTTACAACATCTCTCAGTTTGATTGGAGCAAAAATTAGTGACAAATATTTAGACTCATTACTCTACACACCAACCAATTTTTGAAGAAATTAAATAGTTCAACAATGAGAAACTTCTATTAGAATATCAAAATCTGACTTAGAAGAGGAAGATGGATGATATCTGAGTGGTTTAGAATTTTTTTTTTTCAAATTGGTGATTCAATTTTTCTCAAAATTTGTATGCTTGTTAATTGCTTATAGACTAAGATGCAAGTGAAATTTTAGTTATGACAAATAATTTGATTAATATTTATTGAGGTTTTAAAAAAGCTATAGTAATTGATTAAGATTTATTTAGAATTGTCTTAGAATTTTTTAGAATTTGGTTAAGATTTGGTTAGGATTTATTTATAATTTGATTAAAATTTGATTAAGGTTTTTTTAGAATTATTAGAATTTTATTAGAATTTATTTAAGACTATATTAAGATTTAATTAAGATTTATTTAAAGTTTATTTAGAATTTATATTTTTATTATTTATTTATAATTTCTTTATCATTATTTTTTGAAATTAATTTATAACTTTTTTAGTATTTTTTTTTCTAATTTCTTTTAAATTTCTTTTAAATTGATTAAAATTTGATTATGATTTTTAAGAATTATTTATAATTTATTTTAGATTCTATTAGACTTAGTAAGAACTTGTGATTGCATTTTTTAGTTACCTTCTACAACTAGATTCTTGATGTATTCTCAAGCAAGAATTATATTATATAAAAATACTGACTTACAAAAATCTATATTGAAGATTCTCTACAAATTAGGATTAGTACTAATTGCTTAATTCAGTAAACTCCAATCAATTGTTGCTCTCTCTTCAATGGAGACAAAGTAGTACTTCTTCTT